ATAGTTCACCTATTTGATGAACTATAAAATGCTACAACAGCACAATGGACTTCACAATAAACTCAAAGAAAAATACTGTAATTATCTGCTTTATAGTGAATAAAATATTCAATAATTATTTTTAGGATGTAAGAGGCATTTCAGAAAATAAGAATCAATTCCTTTTTTTAATTAAAAAGAAAAGCTATTCTAAATTTTTATTAAGTTTGTTAGAAGAGCTAGCAACATTTCCCTACATTGAAGCTTTTAATCCCAACCAAAAAAATGCATACCCAAGTACACATATAAAATGCAATATATGCATGCAAATGTATGCATTTGCATGTATATATAACATTATTATATTCCTAAAACATTGCAGTTGACAAAATTATAGCTACTAAGACCAAGATATCATGAAAGTAGGGGATTAGAGGGAACAAATTTAAATTGCACCAAATATAGTTTTCAAACATAGTCAAATGTCCTAGAAAGCATTCATTTCCAAAACAAATGAATTCACACAGAAATGTTGCTCCATTAGGTAATCATTCTCCTCAGTGACTGTCTTCAGTTGTTCAGGAACTTGGCTATGGCAGCCTGAAGTAGATTTTCCTATGAAAATTTTTTGAATCAGTTTGAAATAAAATGTGTTTGTGCTTACGTTTTCTTATATAACAGCCTGGCCTTTACCAAAATGATTTCAGTGCTTAGGGGCATGCTTCTCTGGGCCTGGTCTTATCTCCATCTGTGTTGAAAGATTGTCAAGTAGCATTTGAAAGTCTCCTTTCTCTCCATCACCTATGGATCCCCCACAGGCTGGGGGGAAGGAGGCAAGGAAGCATTAGTTGCTGTTGGGTTTCCTGAGATGAACAAAAATAAACAGATTAAAATAGAAAATATTTTAAATTGGAGCAAAAAACAAAAAACCTTGCATTATCTCAAATCCATGGTTAATAAGGAACTTTGTGTGTGCACGTGTGCCTGTATACATGCGTGTGTGTGTGTGTGTGTGTGTGTGTGTGTACCTTTTAGTGGATGAAAAAGTCATCAGTGAACAACTACTAAGGCAAATGGGTAACACAGAGGTATTTCAAACTCAGCAAGTCAAAACAGAATTCATTGTTTTTCTCTTAAAACTCCTCTGGTATTTCGTAGTATAGGATTATTACTATTATCTTAGATTCTCAAAGTAGAAACCTCAAAGTTCTGCTTTGATTGGTCTACTTCTCCCTGCCTCCTTATCCACTCATCATGTTCTTTTGCTGCATATCCAATGCACTCTTCAATCCTAGTCCTGGTTTCACCACCCACATCAATTTCCAGCTATGTTCTTGGGACAGCCACCTGACTGGTGTCTGATTCTAACTGCCTGCCTTCCCACTCCGTCGTCACACTGCTAGCCCCATACTGCTAGAGCATATATTTATTCACAAAGCAACGTCGCTTCAATTTTTTGGTGGTTCTTTAAACAGCCAACATGCATTGGGAACTACCATATGCTGGCCATTGTACCAAATTTTACATGTAGTATCTAATTTTTCTCTTCATAACATCCTATGAGATGGATACGGTTATTGTTGGCACTTACCAATGAGAACATAAAGGCATAGGGTTTATATACCTGGTTTGCGGTTCCTGGGATGGTAGGTGGCAGTGCCATCTCAGATTATCAGATGCTCTTGATCATTCCAGTATAAACCTTTCCTCAATGTGGTTGCCAGATGACCCTCCAGTCTTTTTCACAAGGAGCTAGCAGACTGTGAATTTCTCATATTCAGTTATTGTACACCAAGGGTCAAGAGTCTTTAAGCCCCTGGGCTAGATAGAATGTAAGGTGAGGGCACGGTGGCTCTCATAGCTTCCAGCTCCCTTTCCCAACTAGGGTGCCCCTCAGGACCCACAGATGGTAATGGAAGTATCTTGATCACAAGCAATGAAACATTCGCCCAACAAATGCTGCAGAACTTTTTATAATACTCTGCCCCTGTGGGATATGGAATGACATTTCACAAACAATGTTTTTCAGACATAATCACACACTACGAATCAACTTTGTAACATCTCTTTCCACGACTCATTCGACTCATTCGTGAGACCACTTGAGGAAGGGTAGGGCGGGGAGCAGTGAGGGGATACAAAGGCAGGGACAGGATAACTTGGGTCACAGCTGTCGTCACAGACTTGTTTTTATCAAGGACTATCATTTGAGTTGTTAGCAAATTTATAAGAAGAAATAGTTACATAAAAAACAGGAGAAGAAAAGGTTAGACATTGCTAAAACTGCCCTGACATATTCCACATATGCTGTTTGATAAATATTTTATTGTTATTCCAGGAAAAGCTTTTAAAGGAATACATAAGCCAGCAATTATGGGGAAGGGATGTCTCCTTCTCAGAGATAGTAGGAATGCCAAAGACAGCTCTTTGCTGCGAAGGAAAGGGTGGACAGACTCACAATGGCTTGCTTGGGGAAAGGTGCACAGACGTACTGAAGGAGCCAAAGTCCCGGGCAGTAACTCTTCCTCGCGTGTGAACAACAAAAGCAACACAAACATCTCCAGTGCAATGTTCTGTGTGATCTGGATAAATCAGAGACACTTGGCTTTTGTGTGTGTGTCCTCCTAGCTGTGTTTCTGCCTAACAAGTATCTGAACCCTGACACAGAAAGCTGTGCTGGAGGAAGGCCTGGCTCCTTGAAACTGATGGTTGAATGGTTAGGACGATGCCCAGCTCTAAACTGCTAGCCTCTAGTAGATATTGAGGGCTTGAACCCACTGCTGACTGGAAAAACTTAGGCAGATATTCAAAGTCATTATCTTATTTAAATTAAATTGGAGACATTCCAGTGCTCCAAGCTAACTGGGTGTCTTGGTATAATGCTAAACACATTTCCAAGGGTTTTGTTTGTTTGTTTTTGTGGGTGTTTTTTTTTTTTTTTTTGTGGCTACTTATCAGTACTATCTTAAATGCCTTCCTTAGAGTCAATACAATTTATTGAAGTGTATGTGTCTGATGGATGTTTACATTTCCCTGCTATAAGAGAGGCTGTTTACGTCATCAAAAAATTACCATGAAAAGTGATCACTGACAGCCAATTGGCCATTATAAGAAGACGTTATTTCTGAAATATTCGAACAATGTAATTTAAGAGCCTGTTCTTCCACTCAAAGGTATACATGCCTAGATTGGAGATTTCACCTAAAATTCGAAATGATATGGAAACTTCTCCTTTAAAAGCCACTTGACAAAGTACACAAATATTCTTCAGTGTGTCAGGGACAGAGGTATTTTATTAATGGCATTTAAAAGCATAAACGAATGTTAAGTACAAACTGAGAAAACATTTATCCCCCTAAGCTATAGTTCACCAAAAAGTAAATCATAACCCTCAGCATTTTTGAAACCTATAAAAAGGCTCCTACAGTAGCTTCTCTTCTTTTCTTAAATGGCCTTTAAATAAATATATGAGTCACTTAAGAAAGCCATTTACTTGAATTGAAGTGATAATTCTGCCAGGACGTCAGTATAATTAATTGTGGGTAGCAGAAGTTTTAAATGAGGCTACATTAGAGATTCTAGGTTTTTTGTTTTTTTTTTTTTCTCACTCTACCTCTATAATTAGAGAAGTTTTGGGTGGATCTTGAAATTGTGACTTGTCATGGAATATCCTGTCTACACGCACTTATGACAAGCCTTACGGCATATTCTTTAATGACCACAATGGGGGGTATAACGCATAGACATATATATTGTATGCATATACAGCAATGCAGCCTCCTTCCTACTACTACTATTGCTACTCTACACATACACACTCACACTCACACACTCCCAACACACGCATACTCCCCCTCACACTTGTTCTGTTTCGTTCACAACCCTGAAATTTTCATCCCTAAGATTGCACTGTTCCAATTTACTTCAATGTCTTCCACATCAAATACAAAGTTATTTTAGTCACAGACTTTTATTCCTGGTAAACTATTTCATAAAAGAACTCAAACCACCCTGCCTTCAAAATTTCTGCTTGCCTATGCTACCTGCACCGAGGACTGAAATAACCACATTTCATAAACAAATACGCTTTCCTACAAATGGGTGGTCTTCCTGTGTAGGATGTGTTTTAAAGGGTGCATCCTGTCAGCAGAGCCGACCGTGTCTCGAGGCACTGTAAGGCATCACTAGAAAACTGACACCAGCTGAGAAACTGAACGAGTGAGTTTCAGGAGACAGAGAATCCATAACACATTTGGGAAAATTCTGCATTTCGTGTCAATAACATTGAAACGAGGGGTGTCTACCTTCTAAAAGTTCACTATGGCAAAGAAGAAAAAAGTTCTACACAAGGAATCGTTTTATGCTAATCATTTAGCTGGCATTAGAATATTCCAACAGTTATATCTGTCTAGCCGTCAAGTAAAGATATTGAAAACAAATACAGTTTTAAAAGGTACGCACATGATCGGCCACTAATGTCTATACTCCAAAATTAAAATCTCAGAGGATATTGAGACATTTTCTACACTTTCATCCTAATGGGAAGATAAAGCATAAGACACAAGAACGTGTCTGCTGGGACACTGGGCATATTGTAACGCTGAACAAAATGTTTGATTAGCTCATTAACTCCATCCACCTTTTGTCACCCCTTCCTAATAGTTTTTTCATTAGCTAGATGCATTTTTCACCCTCTGTTCAGAGCACAAAAGGATCAAACAGCACAATTCCTGCAGCCTGAGATATGCTAAATATGCTAAACGTAAAAATGCTAAATAAAATAGCAGCGCAGTCTTGGAATAGGTGAATGGGGAATTAGGATCTGCGTGCTCAATCTGAACTTCAAAGCAAACACTGCTTGCCTAGTGGACAATGCAGCAGGGTTAACACATTACACATATCCAGGTCTTCAACATTTAAGTGCAGCACAAGACCAAAAAATAAGCAAACCTTTTGCAGCAAAGGCTGCAGATCGCAAAGGAGCCCAGAGGCTAGCTATGAAGGATTCACGCTTTACCTACCGGCATTGTCCATGTCTCAGGAGTGGCGAGGCGAGTTCTGTAGCCTGGCAGCCGGGGAGCCCCAGCTCTTCTCCTGGCTAACGAAGCACCCTGCCCTTCTGCTGATTATCAGTCTTTGCTGGCACACAGAGCATACTTCATGCACTGTCTGCAGGAGACACCGCCAGGAAATTTATATCTCCAAGGATGACAAACAGCCATTAGCTCCATTACAGGCTGATTAAGAGAGACTGAGCCTATCAAGTGGATACTTGAATCCACTGGGGTTTTCACCTCTGTTCCAAGCAAAGGCGGGGGGTGGAAATCACTGCAATGTGGAGAGTACTGCACATTTCAGAAGAGAAGTGTACATGCGATGCAGAGCACATTGCTTCTCCAAAAGATGCCAGAGCAAACACGAGCCGGAAGAGGCACAGATAATTAAAAGGTAAAAAGGGATCTTTACAACTATAATAAATTCTCCTTTCTTCGGGGCTGATCTAAATGCGGTCCAGCCTTTATCACTGACATCACTGAATGACTGGGCAACTTTTCAATGTAGAATTTTAAAGTTTGTGGTGGTTGTTGTCCCTGTCATTGGGGTGAGCAAGGAAGAGCAGAAAAACCACCTTAAAATAAAGGCTACCTTTAATATTTCTGCACTAAATAAATGCTAAGAGGCCAAGTATTGTCATTCCATTTTGATTATGTTTTCATCATGACAAGAGTCCCTATTTCTGGTCAGAATTTCTGCCCACCTCTCCTCACAGAGAAATTCACTAACCATCACCAAGAACACTAGAAATAATTGTCAAAAAGATGTCAGGGGACTCTATTGTATGTTACAGTCCACAGCCACCTAAGTAACAGAAAGCTGGGGATCAAGAAAAATGCATTTACTAACGCAGGAATGTGCATGTCTTGTCTCTAATTTGTGCAAAGACGCACTCACCTGAAACTACCTACGATACCAAGGCATAAAGAGGGGCAGAGAGCTGAAGAAATTGTGTGCCATGCTCTGTGGCTGTTGTGACATTCGATTTTGGGGACAGCACAACTCTGTTTTCTGCATTTTCTAAGATAGACCAGAAAAATTTATAGTGGCCTCATCTGACCTATGATACAAGGAATCCATACTACAGCAAGGGCCTACAGGTTTTCTACTCGACAGGATTTCAAAAAACAGTGCATGGTGTTGTCACACCCTCAGGGTTGTTCAACTGGAAACACAATTCATTTATTTGGCATTTCTGTATGCCACTGGAATTCCTGATGACAAAATACGTGCAAATTATTTATAATCCTGTCTTCCATTTTTACAGCTTTTAAGTATTTCTGTTTTTAATGTCACTTTTGGCTTTCCTATAGATTTGAGATCCCTTCATTGTTTAAATTTTTTTCAACATTTGTTCATTGTTGAGAGATAGAGACAGACGGTGAGCGGGGGAAGGGCTGAGAGAGAGAGAGGGAGACACAGAATATGAAGCAGGTTCCCAGGCTCTGAGCTGTCAGCACAGAGCCCGACGTGGGTGGGGCTCCAACTCACAAACCGTGAGATCCTGACCTGAGCCGAAGTTGGACGCTTAACCGACTGAGCCCTCCAAGCACCCCGGAGTTCCTCCACTGTTTAAACAAAATACTCCATTTGTGAGATCAGCACTAGTACAAAAATCTTTTCTTCAAAGAAAAGTTGAAGTTCTCAGGGATTTTACACTGAGATTTTATCCCCATTATTTTAAATTCCATCACACAACTGTGAGGATTATTAATTTTAAAAAAGCATTCTTCACATATTTTTTAAATGCTTGGATCCCTTAAGACTGAAATCACTGTGGCTTCCATACCTCATCCGGTTGCCCTGATTAAGACTGTCAAGCACCCAGAGTGAGTGCCATCAGGAGAAATCTAGGGCAAGCTAACTAGGAGTTAACAGGGAAGTATGAATGACAAAAGGGAGAGAAACTATTTCATGAAGTCTGGGATTTTGGGAAGAAGGAGATAAGAAGTGTCACGACCTGACAGTGCACATTGACTAATATGAATATATTTATATTAGCTCTGTACACAGTTCAAAACGTGGCTCTTGATTATTTTCATTAATACAGTCACCAAATTGTAAATGGATTGTGTGCCAAACGTTTGTTTTGTCGGTCATTTGAAAAACACTTGTTCTCATAAAACCCTGATTAGGTTCCAAGGACAGGCCATTAAATGCTGCTTAACTCATGATGTGATTTCTATAATATCCATGATCTCCTACACACAACCCTAAAATCCAGAAAGTTCTGAAAATCTTAAGGTTCTTTCTTTTCTTAAAGTTGGGCCCCAAAATGCATACGTGGCACCACATGACTTGAAGTGATAGGAGGCTATTTGAAACCTTTACTTGTCTCGTTTTGAGTGAATAACAGGTTTTACAACAAGAATTTTAACGTTATAGCTCTACAAAGGATGGGCGACAAGGAAAGATGGCTAGATGTAACGAAACTAACATCGTGTCTATTAGGAGTGAGGCTATTCACAAACAGCATAAATTGCCACGGACGAATCTGCTCTGTGTCCCCCTGCATTCGCCACCAGCCCACCGCTGCCCCTCTTCCGTTCCCACCTGGCATCAGAAGATGGCAATGTACACTGTATGTTAACTAACTAAAATTTAAATTAAAAAAATAGATAAAATAAAATAAATTTTAAAAAAGATGGCAAAGTAACGATGGAAAAGCACAGTGAGTGGAACACTTTCCTCAAGCTCCAGGGAGAATGCACTCCCTCCCTTGATTTAATTCAGACCTATAGTTAATATGCTCTAATTGGGGAATGTCTGGATGTAAAATGTTTACCACGCCCTTTCTAAGTGTCCCTGAGGTGCTGTGCAGCACAGTAGTAGCATCAATGAGTCTCAAGTTCTACAGCATGTTTTAAAATCAGTTTTAACGTTTATTTGTTTATTCTAAGAGAGAGAGAGAGGCAGAGAAAGAATCCCAAGCAGGCTCTGCACTGTCAGAGCAGAGAAGGATGTGGGGCTCAGTCTCACAAACTGTGAAATCATGACCTACGCCGAAATCAAGAGTTGGATGCTTAACCGACTGAGCCACCTGGGTGTCCCGTTACAGCATGTTTTAAACATAAATTTTAGTTCCTGTTTTTATGAACCTTCTAATATGTATATTCCTTAGCTCTCTTCAAAGCACACGAATATGCTTGCGGCCACTGGTAATTTGGAGCACCGGCATCCAAAACATCCCCCAGCACGATCCCACCTACAGAAAGAAGGCTATAACCGGTCACCAAGGTTTTGTTTTTGTTTTTTGTTTTGTTTTTTAAAGGATTGTTCACCCGAGGTTGGTCTCAAGAGTTCGTGACTCCAGGCCAGACCAGCTAAGGTAGCAACTGCAAGGTTACCAGTGGGCATCCAGTACTTCCAAATGCATCACCAAGCACCTGGTGATAATCTGGCCATTATCACATCTTTCTTCAAAAAACCCTATTAGTGACTCTCTTTCGATTTCAGAGAAGAAAATATCATGGCTTCCTAGAAAAGGAAGCTTATTTCATATTATTTCTTAACTTTCCCATGAGACGCTGTCACGTTGGGGACACAGAAGGGAGCTGGTAGCAGTCGTGCTCTACCTTTTCTGGCGGTAATCTGACTGTAATCCAAGCCCAGGTAGACCAAGAGCAGTTCACATGGATACTATGGGGCACAAGAAGCAGACATATTTTTCCAAGAGGTGTAGCCACTCCAGAATCATAGGCTAAAAATACCATGGTTTGGCTTTCAGGGGACCAACTGAGATACTTCTCCACAAAGTTAGACTTTGTTCCTTAGAATGGAAAAATTAAGAGAATGAATTGTCCATGTAATTAAATTACTACATTGCTTGGCCCAGCAGATCAGACTATCTGATCTTCTTACTTTCTGATTTACCTAAAGAAATAAAGAAGTGCTATTGACTACCTATTGGCTAGACTATTGACTACCAATTAGGAAGTAGTTAAGGCTTGCTCCCAGTTACTTTGGGAATAGGTTCTATTGGAAATCTGTTCTGAAAAGATTTCAGATGCTGTTTTCATAAGAACAGCCATTGTATATTGATAGTGGCAATGAACAAAGTGTTTGGGTTTATAACTCTCCTAAGTACTAAACCAAATCCCTGAACTATTAAAAAAAAGAAAGTTCACAGGAGGGAGTTCTGCGACAGATCATATTTCCAGGAAGATCAGGGCAAAAAAACTAGACATTCATCTAATGTTCTATTATCTGGATTTTAGGACAATACTTACTTGACATGCTTCTGTTCTCCATTATTCCTAACCATTCTCCTTTGAGATTTCTCTTCTGGTGGAAGGTGGAAGGGAGTGTCTCCTGAATTAATTGCTAACATTTGCTTCTCTTCCCTTGTACACAGTCCATAGAAAAAGCCTTCTAGTCAAACAGACTTAAGTAACACCTTAATGTGAAGCCATGACACTTTTCAGCATACCCGGAACTTTGCTTGGAGTCTAGACCATAATGAAACTATTAACTCTCAGACACGGTCTTCTGACACGTTTGGACTTTTGGTCAAGGTGGTTTGCTGAGTCCCTGCTTCGACACTACCTTTCTGCTCCAACACACAGCAATGGTAGACAACATAGCAAATAGGGTAAGTCACAGCTAGGCTTAAAAAAGCTAGGTAACCACTTCCATGAATCAGAAAGGAGCCCAAAGCCCAAAGCAGTAATAAGGCGTCTGCTGAGGTTGATGTGTTCAAGGTACAAAAGAGAGGCTGGAGGCCAGTGCGTGGCTTCTATGTAGTGAGGGGTTTCAAACAGCTCTGCGTGAGAAGGGAGGGGGCAGAGCAAAGCTCTGCTTCAATGAGGCCTCCTTGCTCAAGAAAGAAAGTTGTTGGGGGCGCCTGAGTGGCTCAGTTGGTTGAGCGTCCGACTTCGGTCATGATCTCGCGGCCAGCGAGTTCGAGCCCCGCGTCGGGCTCTGTGCTGACAGCTCAGAGCCTGGAGCCTGTTTCAGATTCTGTGTCTCCCTCTCTCTCTGACCCTCCTCCATTCATACTCTGTCTCTCTCTCTGTCTCAAAAAAAAAAAAGAAAGAAAGAAAGTTGAAAAAACAATGGCTGTTGACTCATTTCCAGAAGCCACATCTTTATAAAGCCTAGATGGGCATGAGGAGGATACATCCTCACAACCAAGAACAAAATCAGCTTCTTACTGGCTTCTTTAATACTAGATTAGCAATATCTCCCTCGAAATCATGAAGGAACCCCAAGATATC